CTCTTTTCTCCAGTGCATTGCTTGCATCATGGGAATTGACAGATCTTGGCAGGGGAGACTGCAAGTGAGAGTGGTGGAACTACTGTCTCATTGATGCTTCTCCTGCAAGAATGAAGTCAGGAGAATGTTATTACTTCTGAGTCCTGTATGGCTCACAGGAGGTTAGGCATGCACTTTCTTTCACTGTTTTATCTTCCTCATGTTGAAACCAGACTTCCTCTTGCTCTTGGTAGAAATCTTCCTAAAGGTATGATTGTTTCATTTAGTGCTCTTTCATGAGGTCTGTACAAGAATTCTGGTGGGATAATTGGTTTAGAACGTTTGAGCAGCCCTCAGTAAGTGCTTAGTACTTAGAGAAATCTAAGTTAGCTGGCAGCTTATAAAGCCCAGACTAGAGAAACTTGGTTTCAGTGTGAACACTTAGATTGGCTATAGAAAACAGAGTTTTTGGTAGGAGTTTCCCATCTGCTGGTGTTAACACCAAGCAGTCATTTAGAGGGTGCTCAAGTTAACTCAACCTGGCAGAGGATGTGTCTTCAGTTAGTTCATCTTTGACTAGAGTAGAGTATGCAAAAATTGCCTTATTGGCTGTTTGCCTACGTTTACTTCACTCAGAACATTGGGTGGAAATCCTTCAACTGATAGAAGATAATAGGCAGCTGGAAGATAAATATGTCTTCACAACAAAGGTATTGAAGGTAGAATATAGCAGGTTTTTTTTTTTTTTGAATAAATGAGCTGTTTTATTTCAGATTATGTCCTAATGCCCACCTGTCACGTTATAGTTGTGTTTTGAATAGTAAATATATCTCCATGTCCTCCTCTACTCTCTGTCAAAGTAAAAGGTTCCTACTTGGAGTCAACCTCACTACCATACTGAAGCACGTGTGCCTTGCCCAATAAGGAAGGTTTTTTTTTTCTTTTTTACTTTTTTAAATTTTTTTAATCTCATTTATTAAACTAATACTGGATCTTCCTGTGATTTTTTTGATATCTCAGTCCTGAAAGGTATAGACTCTATCTATATGTTTAACAGAAATGGGAAGAAAAAGTGACTGCAATCAAACAGAGTATCTAAGTGAGGGGAATAAAAAATAGCTAGCAGTAAAATAAGGAATAGCATAGCTGGCTTCAGGGAGAGACTTTTTTTCTTCTTCACCATCTGTTATGTCAATTTCTACACGATAATATCTTGTAACCATTTTATAAATAAAAATCTGAACAGGAAGAAACTGAATAATAACAGCCAAACCCTCACAAGAACAGCAAAAAAACCTTCTGGATGCAAAACAGGTGTGGGAAACGTCAAGGGATTTCTTTTGTTATTCTGTGCTTTAAACTCCTACAGATGACCGTGAAATAAATTGTCTGATTTGTGTCTGTAGTGAATGCTGTTTTACAATGAATTCCATGTGAAATTCTTATTTTCCTGTCTAGGTGATCTCTATGGTGCCATAGGCTCTCCAGTTAGATTGACTCGAACTGTTGTTGTTGGGAAACGTAAAGAGTTGGTGCAGCGCTTGCTCTATGTTCTAACTTACTTCATTCGGTGCTCTGAGCTGCAGGAAAACCAGCTGACATGGAGCGAGGCAGCTGGAGAAGAAGAACAGGTGCTAAATGGAAGCAAGATCACAACTGCACTAGAAAAAGGAGAGATAGAAGAGTCTGACTATGTCGTTGTCACTGTCAAAAATGAACCTGCTCTCGTGCCTCCAATCCTACCTCCAAAAAATGATCGAAGTAAGAATCATACTATTGCAGAGTGGGTATATAACCCAAAAGGCTCTTACACTGTGCCAGTCTCTTCAAAAGAGAAGAAAGAAACCATAGGAAAAGTCAGTCAGAATTCTGAAACATCTGTCGACTGTCTAACTAGCATTTTATGTAAAGGAGCAACTGACAGTGGGAAAAGAACTGTCACTGATGCAGGAACTGTGCCCTACCACTTTGAAGAGCCATCTGATTTGGAGGACTTAACAGATGTAAGGAAGAACAAAAATCAGAACGAAAGAAAAGTGGAAAAGCAGTTGTCTAGTAGGTCATCTGCTTTACCTTGTCCTGAAAGGTCTGGTCGCAGGAGTTCACATTTAGAAAAGGTCACCTTTCGGATTGGAAGCTCTGCATCACCAGAGTCAGACTTAGAAACTCAAAGGAGAGAAATGGAAGAGAATCTGAAGGTATTGAGAAAAAATCCAGAGGTAATAATACACTGTGCCTCAAGTTCTACAAATCTGACTGTGGATGCTTCCCAGAATCAAAAAGAAAGCTGTGAAGCTGCCTCTTTGCCATACAGTAAGCATCGTGTTTGTTATGCACACATCTCATCTTGTGAGGGGCAGGGGAGTATGCTTAATAACCAACGTATGGAAAATAAAGGAACTGAAGTAAATTTAGAGAACACAGTTTCAGGTGAACGACTTTTGTCAGTCCATAACGTAGAAACTGTAACATTGCCAAGCATAAAAGAAACTAGAACTTCATGCTCTGGCAATCTGGAGAGCTATTCACCTGGCTGTGTAGAAGTAGATTCTGCTGTCAAAATAGAATCCCCTAAACTAGGTGCTAAAGATGTCCCCTGTGGGGATGCTAGAAGAAAAACCCCTTTCAGAGTTGAGGGGGACATTCCAAGGAATGAGAGTTCAGACAGTGCTCTTGGAGCCAGCGACGAAGAAGGTGATTGTTGTATTCCTGATGAAGTGCGTCACGATAACGTCAGCAAGCGGCTTGAAGAGTTTGCAGAAGTGGAACTTCCTCTACCAAGGTAAAGGAGTTTAAATTAACTTAGAACTGAAGGGAGTCAAAAGTTGTTGGTACACTAAAGGTGTTCAGAATTTGTTTTCAGAAGTCTGAAGACTGCTGGGATGTCAAGTTGCTTGCATTACAGACCCAGACAGTGTATTTCAAAAAGATGACCAAGACCAAGCTGTTATTTGCAGTGAATTTTTTTGACAGTGTTCTTCAGGTGTTTAATAAAAGTGGCGAGGCTAATTGCCTGAAACACTCAGTGTAGACTGTCCTATTTGAAGACGAGCAAACTTCAGTGTTGCTTAAGCTGATTGATGACTAAATGCAACTTTGAATAAGAGCATCCCATTTGAAAACTTTTGATCTTTACTGATGCACGTGGAGCTTCCTGATGCATGTTAGGAAGCTAGAAAGATTTTTGCTGCTTGTGCTGAGTTTGAGAACTCAAATTTAGCAAACCTGTTAAACAGGGATCATACATACCACAGGTTCTAGTGCAGGTAGATTTGCCTTTTCTGAAATTTAAAGGAATTAATACAGCACTGAAGTTACAAAATTATGGTTTCAAAGAGTAATCAATTAATAATTGATTCACAGTTTTTTTAGTACAGTTATTGATTAAAATTTGCAATAAAACCAAGCGGAGGGGGTTAATCAAACATTGTTATAATCTGAATGGAGTCTGTCAAGCAAGAATCCTAACTGCTTTCTATTTTTTTTATTTCAGATCAAACACAGTCAGCAGACAGTGTGTGAAAAACTTCGGGAGATCGCTTCTAGGTGGTTACTGTCATACATATGTGCCTGATCTAGTGCTGCATGGAGTAAATAATGATGAAAAACTTAAGCAGTGTCTACTAGCAGACCTACTTCATGCAATGCATGTGAGTTAAAGTACTGCTCTAAGTCATAGTAGAAGTTGCTGATATTACTGAGAAGCTCCAGAAACGTGGTATTTTGTACTTTAGAACTTGCTTTTTTTTCCTGTTAGCTAGTTCTTAACAGCCACACCTGACACATCATCTTCCTTGAAAGAAAGCCCCTTAAATCACTGCGTGAGAAACCCATTCACACCAGAATCACTTTTTTTTCCTTGTATTCTCTTCAGTTTTCCCTTAAAAGATAAACACAAGGAAAAAATGGCTGCAGCTTGAAGTTACGAGGAAAAATCTCTGAAACCACTTATTTTCAGTCACAATTGGAGACAGTTATCTGTATTTTATGAAGGTGTAAAGTGACTTGTTGGAAACAGCTTGCCACTGAGGGGCATTTGTTGCAAGGCAAATAAGTCTTGTGGAAGCTTGTGTTGTACTAGTCTATAGCAGGAATAACTGACTTAATAAATAAAGTTAGTTGACTGTGGATAGGATCTTTGTGATATTCTTACTCTTAGGTGCACCAAATGATTAATTTATAACTAATCCTTCACTAAAGTAACGTTGAGTGCATCTGGTATGCAATTTACATGTTAGTGTAGTGATTGCTCACTGCTTCTTTGCAGAGCAATTAAGAATTATCCTGCTGGAGTGACTTCAGTGCAGTGTCCAAAACGGTGACATGTGCAATTTATTTTTAAATGTCAAATTGCTTTAATATGATACTGCTTCTTTATGTACACATTATCTTCATCACAAACATGAAACATCAAATTTACTTTCATTGCAGCTGCATCAGTGTAATTAATACCCGATTTGTTTTGAAAGAACTTTCTCATTGAAGCTGGAATACCATTAGTGAAGAAAAAGTATTGGAGTTGAGATTCTGAAGCTCTACTAAAAAAAAACTATTTAAATGGCTTTCTCAAATTGACAGTTTATACTTAACAGTGTTACTGGATGTCAAATCTGTCTCTGAAACTGGTGTTCTGTCTCATTTTTTATTGAGATACTTCTGTCTAACTATTGGACAATCTTCCTATTGGACAAAAACATTCATTTGGATCACTTTATAATCCCTAGCTACAAGGTGAATAAGAGTGGAGCAGCAAACTAAGTTGTGGAAACGTGTATGGAAGTGTGGCATAATGTTTGTCTTGTATCTATTGCAGCATCCAGTGCTAGATGAACCAATAGCAGAAGCTGTCTGTATTATTGCAGACACAGATAAATGGAATGTACAAGTAGCTACAAGCCAGAGGAAAATGATGGACAATATGAAGTTAGGCAAAGATGTCTTGGTGTCAAGTCAAGTATCCAGTTTACTCCAGTCTATTTTACAGCTTTATAAACTCAACCTCCCAGCTGACTTTGTAAGTATTACTTTACTGAAAAGTGAAGCTAATAGAAATTGTTTAGCTTAGTTAACAAGTGCAGAGTTTTGTATGCTGTGTGTTTTATTGGATCCTGTCAGATATTAGTTTATTGATGTAGGTAAGTTGGTGTAACAGATTTAAAACAAAACAAAAAACAAAAAAAACCTGTAGCACAGACATGCTACAGTTCAGTTACTCATACTGTTTCTAACTTAATTTACTTGCAATAGGTTAAAATCAACTCTGCTCCAAAATAAATGTGACAGAACTAAAGTTACTTAGGCAATTTTAACATGACCCTCACATATTTATGATTAGGGTTGTTAAATTTGACTTGGATTTATTTTTTTTTTTGTAATCTTCTCAATTCCCTATTGTTGAAAGCTTCTGTCTACCTAAGCCAGTTTCTACCATACAGTTTTCTGTTCTTGGGCAATTCTTTTTTCAAACAACAGCTAGTGGATGCCTTCTCTCTTCCCTCCAAATATGTATACCTGTGGTATACCTGTGCGTGTTTACCTGACCTTTCAATTTCATGCATATTCTAGCCAACTCTGTCAGTCAGTCCTGCCTCAGATCACCTTGCTGACATGCTTTCCACTGGATTTCTGGGAGGATACTGAAATCTGAAAACCCTTTTGGGTTGGATGGGTTGCAGCAGAGGACGTTATTTCTTTTTATACTGCATAATGCTCTTCTCACAGCATCCTCTCCTATCCTCACTAGTACAGTTCATCAGAGCAAATGAGTAGCTCTTTGAGTTGCCGTAATCAGCCAAAACAGCAAATTACCCCCAGTATGACAGCAATAATTATAACACGGTTTTAAACACACCGTTATATCTGGGGAAAGATGAGGTGTTTAAGTTTTAAGTGAGCAGAATCAGTTTGTTCTACAGCAGATAGCCTTAAAAAGCTTTGTTTGTAGGAAGCCTTGTGAAATGGCTGGGCTAGTAGATGGAAGAGAATGATGGAGCTCAATATTAACAGCTGTAAATATTGAGCTGACACTGTTTGGGATAAAATTAGTGGTATTGATTATTTGAAGTTCTTGAAGTACTAGGGCCAAGAATGTGAATATCAGTGTCCTTTCAGGATCCTTTTGGGCACTGAAAAGCCTGTGGGTTTGGTTAATTGTAGTGCTTGCATAGGAGCACCTTACTCTCTGGCAGTTTTGAGCTCATGAGTTGGTTCTGCAATGAAAGTGTTTTTTCCACTCTTGCTTTGGGATTTTTATATGCAATTTCTGTATGCTTTGAGGAAGTGGAGTATTTTGATTTCCTTTTTTTAACGAATAGTCGCAGTAAAATGACAATCACAGAAGCTTTTTTCTCTAGTCTGCATTAAAGATACTTTGGTCCTTCTGTCAGATTGTACAGATTTTTGCCAGCAGGAGCAGAATAATGAAAGAATGGAGAAGTGGTCCACTGAACTCCAGGGGGAGAAGTGTGGCTCTTCTATCATGGTCATGCTGACAAATTTTGACAAAAGTGTGTGTACTGGTATAGATCAAACATTTACATGATGCTGTATGCTTGAAGATTCTTTTACAAGTGTACGAGCCTGCAGTTACTTCTCACATAATAAGTTTTAAGTTTTTTGTGGTACAGCAGTAATCAAAAGCCAACCTAAGTCTGAATGAAGGACAGGTGGTGATGCCTTGGTGGTGCTTCAGGCTGGCAGCTGTCCTGTAAAGAGCTTTGCAGTATATCAAGGTGAGAGGGTAGTAGAAACTGCAACTGTTGCTTGTCAGCAGCATGTCAAAAAAACCCAAAAGCATGTCACCTGCTTTTTCCAGCTCATTTTAAGCTACTCCTGTGGTTTTTTAAATGTTTTTTGATTCATTTAGTCACTGAGAAGCCACAGAGAAAGCTGAATGTCAAAATTAAAAAGAAAAGACTTATGGCTTATTTATTGTACTTTGCTTACATGATTATTTTTAAGCAAAATCGAAGTCAAAAGGGGAAAAAAAAGTATTTAGCTTTCAGGAATAACAGATAATTTTGTGTAAAGAATCTCGCTTAAGACAGCGTGCAGGTCGTCTTTAGGTGCTTCCTCAACTTCAAAATAAAAGATTATCTATAATTGTTTAGTTCTAGTGTACTGGAGTTGAAGTGTGTTGAACTGCTACTCTGAGAACCAGCAGCATGTCTTCCTGAAGCACTGGGGAAGTGCTAACAGGCTTTCTGCATTAGTGTTACCTGTAGTGGAAAAGATAAGAGTGGCTTTAGGCTAGAATCCAGAAGTGCTATAATTATAATGGCTTGGGTGGAAACTTGTTTGAAACAGATGAAACTGCTGTCAAAAATTGCCTTTCCTCTACTAGTGGCTTATTTTACTGTTATGTAGTGCATTTGATAAAGTGTCTCTTTGCATTTCACAATTAAGACCTGATAAAAATTCAGAGTATCTTTAAGATTCTTAAACTTGCCTCGAGACCATCAGAAAAATACATGATAGGCGACCTACCAGTATGAGTCTTCTTTCTTATTTTTTTATTTAATTAGCAGATCTGCTTTCACAGGATCTCATTTCTAATGCTTATGGTTTCCATTAAACTTAAACTATACGTCAGACAATGGCCTGAAGATGTTTACTGCTGTTTCTAATTGCAGTCTCCACCTGCTGGATGATTATGTATTTGATAATATGAAGCTCTGCATGTGCTTCTTGTTTTCATCTTCTGGAGCTTGGAGAACTGAACTAATTTAACTTCTTTTGAAGTGGACGTCCCTGTGGGAAGAAGGAATATGTTGAATTGAGTTACCTTGTGTTTTGGTGCAAAATACGTGATAAGGCATCCTACCTGCTCACCTTATGAATCACAGAATCACACAGTAACACATGGGGCATGTAAGCAGCCTCTGGAGATCACCTAGTCCAATCTGCCTGATAAAGCAGGTTTCCTACAGTAGGTTGCACAGGAAAGCATCCAGGTGGGGTTTTGAATATCTCCAGAGAAGGAGACTCCACAACTTCCCTGGGCCACTTGTTCCAGTGTCTTAAGACATCTCATTATGTATCTGACTTTCTTAATTGTCTATAAGCCTGTTTAAAACCAGGTTGGCAAAACGCTGTGTCTGACTTTGAGGGGAATTGGTTGTATTGGGTGTTGTTTCTTTTTGACTCTTGCAACAAGCTTGCTTCCTAAGAAAACTGGAAATGCTCCAATTCCTTGAGGTGAGAAAGGCTGGTGTATTTTTCTTTTTTAAAACTTGCCAGCAGAACTGTAACATCTCCACTTTTTGGAGAGGGGACTTTTGACATGTTCTTGCCAATATATGTCAGCCTATTATTTGAGCTAGTTTCTGTGATGCTGCAGTTTTTCAAGTCATTCTGAAGTTTTTGATCTGTGTTTACAGTGCATAATGCATCTTGAGGATAGACTACAAGAGATGTATCTCAAAAGCAAAATGCTTTCAGAATATCTGCGAGGACATACAAGAGTGCACATAAAAGAACTAGGAATTGTATTAGGGTGAGTATTGTAGAAATCAGTCCTAGCTTATGGTGAAACCAGTTATTTTCCTTTACAGTTTCTAGATGTAATCATTTTGTTCCCATGGGGACTTGCTGCTTATTTCATATTTAGCATTCCCCTTCTCTCATGTGTTTAAAAGTGTAGAAATAATTTCCAGTGAGCCATCTGAAAATCAGCAGACAGTTCAAAAGCAAGACTTAATCATTAGTCATTATTAAATGTTAAGAATGAAGAAAGTTTGTGATTTGGTTACTGTGAGGTCATCCAAAAATGGTACTTGAGTGGAGCACAACCTTTAAGGATGCACCTGCTGTGAAAACAGAAGGAGAGGAAGGGGTAAGAAGTGAACATACACACTCAAGCAGATAGTTTTAGCACTGGGGTTAAAACTTAATTTGTCTTTATCCTAGCTGTTCAGCATCTCATTCTGAAAAGTGTAGCTTTAAGTAGGGAGACTAGTATTTTTTTTCACTCAAATGATAGTGTACTTCTTGTTTTTTGAAGTACCTTATGCTTTTGTTGATACGTTAGCAATGAATCACTAAGCAGTGGCCTTGGTTACAGTAAGACACTTTGAATTTCCTTAAAGTGGATGAGGAATATCCTCTTGTTTCTATTCTTTTGTGGAAGTGATTGTATATTTTAAAGTCTCTCTTTTTTTTTTTCCCCAGGATTGAATCCAATGACTTGCCTTTGTTGGCTGCTATAGCAAGTACTCATTCCCCGTACGTTGCTCAAATACTCTTATAAATTAAAATCTCAGGATAGTCATTCCCTTTAAAATAAAGAATACGGGCATGTTGGAAGAGGAACAGAGGTGCCAAACACTGGTAAATGGGAACACTGAGAAAAGCAGATAACTGTACCTTCTACCACCTTTCCATTCCAATTACAGCTGGATATTTGGTTGGAGGACTTCAGTTTACATAACATAAAAGGCATTCAGGTGTTTCTTATAATCTCTCTTCTGACTTAGTGACTGCATCCTTGCATTTTTAATCAAAGGACAAAAGCTAACACTATGTGGCAGACTGTGAGCTGCCATCCAAAACGCTGCTCAAAACCATGAAGTAACAGTTAAAGAACAAGTGGGCTGGAAAGGATTTCATCACACTGTAACTTCTGAGTGTGGTGTATGTTTCTTTGCTGGGGAAGAAGAGCTGTAAACTATGTATATAGCATTCCTATACGCAAGTATATTAGATGGAATTTGATTTTTCCTGCAGAGCATAAGCATGATTTTGTATAGTAAAAGTGACCAGCTCAGAAAAAGAATCTGTTTTTAGCAGCCAAATGTTATCTGGAAATGGTGGTGTGCATGAGGTGATGTGACTTTCCTTGAAGGACAGGAAATGAAGAAAGCTGCCACTGCTTCTCTTTTAATGAGGTATTCAAATGGCTTATGACTAGAAGTAATTCTACCTGAAAATGGAATGAACTTCTGAGATTTTTTTGTAGGAAAGCCTTATGGAATTTCTGCTACAAGTTTACATTTGTTACTGATGCAACTTCAATACCTTTTTGAGTTTCTGTATGAATTTAACCTGTGTCTCGGTGTCATCAAGTATTGCTATCTCTGAGGAGTATGAATTTGACAAACTTCTGTATGATACCAGTGCTACAGTGCACATGTGTACACACACGTACACCAGACAATTGGCACCAACTGAAGACAATCTTACTGGGGGAAGAATCTTTATGGAACCTTCAGTCAAAAGTATTACTTCTTTCTGGTTATTAATTGGTCATACTAGGTGTAAAAGCATTGCTTAAAGAAAATGAGCATTGCTTAAAGAAATGTAGAGGGCAACCCCCCCCCTGATATTTGATATTAATATGAATGTTTGCAGTTACCCTTTTTGATTCTACAGAAATCTTAAACTGTCATACGGGTGCCTTTCCTTAGTAGATTTACTGCTTTGAGACCAGAAACTACTTCTCCATGAGTCGATACTGGCCTTCTATATTTCTAGAAAGCAAAATGAAATTTTGTATTTTACTGTTTTCATGTTGGTGATAACATGAATGAAAAAAAAAAAAAAAAATGCATAAAGCACTGTTGAGCTGGATGTGAAATTACGGACCAGACTGAGGAGAGAAAAGAAATCAAAAGAAGCATTCTTAAGGAAAAGGAAAAACTAATGTTGGACCATTTTGTTCTGAGCCAGCATGAGTGAGGTCTGAAATTGACAGCTTGCAAGTGAGTTGCTGGCAAAACAATTGTTTGGGAATAGCAAACTGAGAAACTTCTGGTCACCAGTTATTTGTTGTCCTCATTGGTGATTGGAGATTTTTAACACTGAAGGGATGCACTTTTATTAAAAGTGGTTTTATTTCATACTACCTTGATGTTTGGACTTTTCTACAGTAAACTTTAAATGATTTGAAACAATGAAATGTTCATTTTGTGAGTTGTTTAAATGTGATTGGGGTCTTGATTAACCTTGTGTTGCTTTTTGAGGGGAAATGGGGAGGCTGACTTACTGTGAAGAGGGGTTGTTTCCAAGTAGAGGGAATATTCTGATACAAAAAAGATTCTAAAGCTGTTCCTTATATGCTGGCTTTCTGATCTGACATTCCAGATGTTTCTTTTATTGTATTTTCATAGATTTGTCTCTAGCCTACAGAGGCTGAAATCTTTCTGTGGTTCAGCTCTACTCCTACCGCAAATAATTAAGCAAATTTTTCATATCTTTGGTCTGTGAATCCTTGTATCTACTAGAAAGCAAGCAAGCTTTTCTCTGCATCTATTTGTTGGCAGATTTCACTCTATTTCATAAGGTCAAGAAGAAGAACCAGAGCAAACTGTGTATTCCTGAGCTGTCCCTGTATGGGGAGCGTGTGGGTGCATGTGTGTAGGACTGTGAAACTCCTTCCCTGAGTGTATATAAAGATTCTCATGTACTTCTATTTCATGTCATTCTTCATTAATGGTTGAATTTATTAAAAGACAGTTCCAGTTCTCCTAAGGCATTGGTAGGCTTTTCATCTGAACAGACTGACAGTTCTTCAAAGTGTGCAGAGACACTTTTGCTATCATAGAGTTGGCTTTGACTTCCTTAGAACACACTTAGTGATTTCAAGGCTAATAACCATAACAAGTAACATCTGATTTTTACTACACAGATTATTAAAAAAAAAAATCTGCCTTTTGGCAAGATACTAAACTAATCTAGGGGTGGCATGTGTACTGATGGTCAAAGTGCTTGGATTTCTTCAGCCCAGGCTAAGACTTTATAACTCCCCACTTTACAGTTCTTGCTGCTTTCTCAAACATTTTGCTGCTCTTTAGAAATCATATGAAGAACTACCTTGTTCTGACAGTTTTAGTTTGGGGAGGGGGAATTCAACACGAAATCTGTTTATTACCATTAAAAAAGGTTTTAGTCTAAAGAAAGTTAAACACATATCTCTCCCCTCCACCAAATGTACTACCTCAGTTAATGGGATTCCACCTTCTTGGGCTTCTCTGACTCAGTCTTTAACTTGTTTTTGGTAGCATCTTGCCATTTATGTGATGTAGTATGGCATGACAGGGCAGTAGGTGTTTACAGATGCTGTTAGACATCTTATAGGGCATGTTTCTGTTTTTGTTTTAATTGAATGAGATAATATGAATGTACAGAAGAGCTGAAAGTTGATTATGTAGCTTAGTTTTTCAATACTCCAAAGTTTTTATCAGTATTATGTAGGTTTTTCTGTCAACTTAATAAATGCATACTTTAAGTGGGAGTGCACACTCTTTCCAAAATCCCACGTAAATGCAGTTTACACAATGCAATTTCAGAATGTATTTTTTTTTTCAGGCAAGTCTCAGCATTGATACACAGAGGGGAGGAATGAACTACGAAATTTCGTAGCATTTTAATGAGCTCCTTAACCTAAAACAATACCAAGACTGAATTATTTTAATTTAAGTAAGTACTTTCTGATCTAATGTATGCAAGTGTCTTCTCCCCCAGAAGAAACAATTGCATACTTACTGTATAATTATTTAATTCACATTTCTAATTACATCTTCAGAGTAACAGATCGGACTTTCCCACCTCCTACTGAATGCATTTTTTAAAAGTCAAAAAGCCTTTTTCGATGCATCGAACTCTTGTATATAGTTTACAGAAGATGATCAGTTATTCCTCAAGTATATATTCTACTTGAGTTAAAAGGACCCGGATCAAACTGAAGTCTGAACTGCTGGAATGCATTCTAGATGTGTTTTTTTTAATATCAAGTATGCTAATTTGTCATACACAATAGGATTTCCATATAGATAAAAACATGTGTTGCTATTTTGCATGTTTGGAGAGCACAAGTTTTTTTTTTTTTTTTAATTTAGGAATGACTGAATACTGATGTCAGACTACATGTTTTTGATGGCTTTTTTCATATAGTTGTTTATGTACATTACCACTTTGGTCTATTTCTCTGCGGCATTTGGTGCAATAAACTTTCTGAAATTAATGTAAATGGTATTTGGTATCTTCTTTCTTAAAATTTACCTCTGAAGAAGTTGTGCTTGTTTTTGTAACTGATGGCTAACAGTGCATCCAATTACCTATTAGTCACGTAAGTGAGAGTTGCAAGAATCATCCAGCAGGAAGGCTTTCCAAGATTTGAGACTTAAATACTATTCACTACTTTGGAAGCCTTACTCTGTTTATATGTATAAGAACTCTAGCAAAGTTTTGCTTTCCATTATTCCTTGCAGTTAGTTAAGACTCTGGCTGTTGGTATGGGTTCTTCAGATGTTCCACGTGTGTGGTTGGCACTGAGCTCAAATGAGTATAAAAAGAGCTGTCAGAAGAATGCCACTATTGCATTCTATGTCCTTTTTCTATTTTGAAATCACCCAATTTAACAGAAAATAAGTGCCACTGTATGTGTACCTGAAAATGAGATTGTTGGTGGGCTTAAACGAATGAATTATTATTATTTAAAACAAGGTAGTCTTCAATTTCTCAAACTCCATGAGCAAAGTTTCAGTTTAGTACTCTAGACTGGAAAAAGCCATGCTGTAAGCACATCCAGCATCCATCTGATCTTAATTTGTGAAAGCTACTCCGTTTAAAACTGTCAGCTGGATGCTGCCTAGAAGGCAATGAGCAGCTCAGGACATGAGAAGCTTGGGATCTGCAGAACACTTCAGGCTCTGCAGCTTAGTGGAAACTCCTTATTTATCAAGTAAAAATGGAAATGAGAGGATCAACTGGAATTATGTTCAATATCTCTGAACAGGTGGGGCTTTCAGTGTGTAAGCACTGACATTTCAGAGGTTTGCTTTGTTGAGCAAGCAAACAAGAATTGTGAGTAGAATAATAAAAAAAACAAAAGCAAAGAAAGCAAGCACACACTTTAGTATCAAGGACGTTCTGCAGTGCTGTGAATATATCTTCTGGCTTTTTGGTCTGGCTGCAGTAGATATCAACTTTGAAGCATTTGAAAATAGATGTACTTATTTGCTTATGGCCAAAGATACTAAATGGTTGCATACACACAGCTGAAGTAAGGGAAAATGTCTGCTGCATTGTCTACTACCACTCCTGTTTGTATGTCTGCACGTATGGTGATGTTCTATAGTTATTAACTAAACTTGGTGTCTGTTCTTTAGTTTGAAAAGCACACTGAAATGGTAGCGTTGTGGTGAACTGTAACTCTAGTCTAGCTCTCCTCTTGGCAAATTGTATAGCTGCCTTCCTTCTGTGCTTAAATGAGAAAGCTTGCAGCAATTTAATACCTAACCACTTGAACGTGGGGAAAACACTGTTACCATGTCCAGCCTTTTATTTCTGTCATGCTAGGTGCATCTGCAAGCTACTGTCACATGCTCTGGAGCTCCCTGGCTCACTTGTGTGCAAATGCAGTGTTCCTGAATTGAAAAAAAATGTTGATGATTCTCTGGATGAAGAAATAGAATTTGACTCACGTATAGGGTGAAGGAAGGAGCAGGACCCCTCAGCTAGAAGCAGGAGAAAAGCAACGAGATAGAATCCAACTTCTGATGTTTTTGATAGTTGTTGATCTTTGGATTGGCTCCATGGTTTGTGCAGTGCGGGAACCTTGGCTTCTACTCAGAGTTTGGATGGTCCCATGATGTTTCTTTGGTCTGACTTACACTGTATATATATATATATTTAAAATAGTTTATTTCTGCTGTTGCTCATGTCAGCAAGCTCTGCTTTTTCTCTAAAGAACACTTAGCCAGTCTCTTCAAGTCTTCATATGGTATGGAAGTCTGGAAGATAAGCAAGAGGCAGACGTACAGACTGACCAGTGTAAGATGGCCAAACACTGGGAGAGAGTGGAGAGCTGTGTTAATAAATATTTGTGGTGTGCCTAAGAGGACGGCCGAAGAGCCTTTAAAGCTGACAACTGTGAAATAGAAAATAATATTCAGATCTCAAAAATTCCCCGCCCCTAAAACAAGTTCTATGCTTTGTTTAAAAGACAGATGAAAAAGCCACCCCGAAGGCAAACAAAAAAGCCCACAACTTAAATTATTAATGTCACATATAACTGACTTGACTCATCTTCCTTTTCAATAGATGGTGAAGGGGATTGCAGAGCCAGTGAGGAGATCCTCCTTATGATGTGTGATGAGGAATTGAAGGCTATAGCAGACATAAGTAAATATGAACAGTATTGCAAAGCAACCAAGACTGTGCAGTCTTTCTCCCTCTTCACTAAATGAGAAAGTCCTATAAAACAGCAAAGTTTCCTATTCATTGTTCACACACTGTATCCTTTGGCTTTCTGTGTTTATGCAATTGAAGAGAGAGCAGGACTGAGAATGCTAAATGGGATTTTGAACATAAAGGATATGCAGCTGAGTGATAAACCATGGGACTGTGACCTGTAAGGCTTCCAATCCCATATAAAAATAGCTTAAGTGGCCACATGCTAGTAATCCACATGCTGGAAAATTACTCTCGTAATAGTTGCGGTCACTTGTCTGTTTGGAACAATCCCAAAGCTAAAACAGTTTAAGTAGTACAAGTAGCATCTTCTCTAGAAATCCTAAAGGTCAACACAAGGCCAAAGGGCTTAGGAGTGACAGTCGAGCGCTTAAAAATAAATATAATCTCATAAACTGGTTTTCGTCTGCTTGGAGCTTTGGAGATTCCATTGTGATTTACAAAATGGTGGTTGAGAGAGGGCAAGCTCCCACTGCAACAGTAAGCCTATGGGCAGGGAAGTGTTTGTGGGTGCAGAAATATGGGTTGATTCAGAAGTCTGAGGTCTTCCCAGAGCGTGGCTGCGCTCGTGGATAGGAGTGTTGCTGCTTTTTTCTTTTGGCTCTCTAAAGTTCCATGAGGTGGTTAAGTCTCCTGAAGCTTTTCCCTTCAGCTTTGACAACTATAATTGTTTTGAATTACACATTTTTAAACTGTTTTTGATTCGCTAGGGTGTGCAGTTCTTTCGGCGTTTACTTGTGTGGCTGTGCTTTATGTGATACTGCTACTTGTGCATTTCCAAACCAGCAAGATTCTCCTTCCATTTGCAGGTTGCAGATAAGGGTACTGGATGTGTGGTGCAGGAGTCTGAATTCTGCTGGAAGAGATTTTGGAACAATCCCAAAGCTAAAACAGTTTAAGTAGTACAAGGCCTCACCTTTTCCCTTTGTGCTGGTGGCTGGGAGTAGTGTGGGTCGTGACGGGCCGCTTGCTATGGGGTTCAAGGCAGCCTTTGTACCTGCCCAGATCCCAGGCCAGCCGGGCCCGTGCACCGCGGCCTAGATGTTCAAGAACACAGGGAGCTGGCTGCCTGATGGGAACATATAACAAAAACAGAGTTAGTGCTGATAAAAAGGGTTTTTTGTTTTTGTTTTTGTTTTTTAAACTCTTCAGCTCACTGTTTTTAATAATGCCGTGCAGCCCCCTATAGGGGCTTAACTGCCATTTCATCTTGCAGACATCAAATCTGATAACCTGTTGAGCGGGGCCTTCCGCATGCCTTCCTGATGCAATCATAGAATGGCCTGGGTTGAAAAGGACCATAGTGCTCATCTGGTTTCAACCCTCTGCCATGTGCAGTGTCACCAACCAGCAGACCAGGCTGCCCAGAGCCACATCCAGCCTGGCCTTGAATGCCTGCAGGGATGGGGCATCCACAGCTTCCTTGGGCAACCTGTTCCAGTGCCTCACCACCCTCTGTATGAAAAACTTCCTCCTAATATCCAACCTAAACCTCTCCTATCTCAGTTTAAAACCATTCCCCTTTGCCCTATCACTATCAACCCATGTAAACAGACGTTCCCCTTCCTGTTTATACATTCCCTCCAAGTACTGAAGGCTCCCCAGAGCCTTCTAAACAATCCCAGTTCCCTCAACCTTTCCTCATAACTTTCCTCATAGGAGAGGTGCTCCAGCCCTCTGCTCATCATGGACGCCCTCCTCTAGACTCATTCCAAGAGCTCCATGTCTTTCTTGTACTGGGGGCAACTCCCAAAGTTGATGAGGAATTGACCGAACTGTGCCAGTGCCTTACCATGAGGGACATAACTTAAACACCGGTGTTCAAGTGAGTTTGTCAGGGTCCTGGCATTTAAAACATTTGTGTTAAGCCCAACTATGGCTATACCCTGCAAGGGAGACAGCCTTCACTGGTTTTTCCATGATGCCATTTCCTTCCCACAGGAATGCAGTCATCTTGCCTGTTGCTTAGTAGTGGGGAAACACAAAAGGGCAAAAGATGCAATGCCCATTTGTAATGCTGCCAAATAAATTGAGTGTTGTAGGTAATTCATGGGCTGGTGGGTGTGGTTGAAGGAGTAGTTGTTATGCATTTGCATCAAATGAGCTCTGAAGAAGAGCTGGTGGCTTCCCAGTTAAGAGTGCCCAAGTGCACTCAGAGTAGGTAAGAAAGCAGGTAATTCAGGAATGCTGTTCCCATCTTCAAAAAGCTTCCTCTCCTGAGCCTCGTGATGTTTAAACTGCACTGCTGCTAAGTAGCTAATCCAACTAGTTCATCTCTGGGATCATACTAAGCTTCACAGAAAAGCTGGCTTGCCCCTCCCCCCTTGCTTTTTCCTAAATTAGCTTTCTCTGCTTTTGATTAAAATATGTGACATTTTCCTGCATATCTTGCCTTGCTGATAGCAGCTGCTTTGCCAGCAAGCTGGCACGGAGGCTGCAGCTGGAGCTTAGAAGACTGTAGTCCATGGTCTGATGTGAAAGCTGACAGCTGGGTGGGTTCCATTCCTGGAGACAGTGTGCGTGAAGCAAGAGTCTCTGAAAGCAGCTGTCCCAAAGAACCCCCGTAGCAAACAACACCTACAGGCTGGCTGGTTGCTCATAGCACGAAGTGCCACTCTTTTTCCAGCAGAAGGGAGTGATGCTAAAAAAAGGTATTGTAACCAGTTCTGCACACTGCTAAGCTTGCTATCTGTCAGGGGTGACATCTGTGGCAGCAACAGGCTACGTTTGCACACTTCCAGTAATTTGGTGATGATTGGCTGCCATTATGCACGCCCTTGTCCTTAGTTGTGATGCCCAACGGAACCATGCTGAGGCTGAAACATGACTGTGAACTCCAGAGTGGGCTTTGCTGAACTTTGAGGTGGCTTTGCACACTGCAGTGGGTATAGAACATCCCAATAGCACAGCCTATACCCTGCTTATCAGCGTAGTACAGTAGAGTGTGGCAGTGCTAAGAAGGGCTCTGGAGACACCGTACCTCTCCGCAGTCACCCTGTATTATAGCTTAATCTCAGTGCCATGCTGAGCTAACTGAGCTGATTCACCATTTCAAGTTCTCGAAGAGATCCAACCAGCAGCAGAGCAGGAATTTTCACCCTGTGTCTGCGGCTCAACATCAAAGAAGCTCCTGTTTGTTTTCCTGGCATTTTGGTAATGACCGCAGTTCCTCCCAGAAGGATGAGGTGATTGCTAAAGGCATGCAAGGGAGGCTGGGGCTGAGGTTTGCACCTGATCTTCTGAGTCTTAAATTAATGCATTTGTCATCCAGCAGTCCTGCTGGCCGGGCTGGGTGAGTGTGTGTTATGGGGAAGACTGTTCTTCCCTTTTCCCTTCCTAGCAGGTCCTGTAAGAGTCAGAGAAAGCATCTGGCATCCAGGCATCTGTCTATCTTTTGGGAAATAAAAAATGAACTCTCTCATGCTTACATGCTGCTTCAAAAATTTGTGCACAATTGCAAGGGTGCCTGTGAGGGTACAGAGGTTTAGCTGAAAGAATCTAACGTAGATGCTGCCAAAGAAACGTATTTTGGTTTTCCAAACACCTGTTTCTTTGCCCTTGTGCATCTTTATTCTTGGCTTAGGATGCATTAATAGTGTAGAAAAAGTAACTTGTGACAGGCTGCTGAGCAACACTCAGTGAGAAATAGCAGGAGCTGATGTCTGCTCCAGGATGCGCTCGTTTTCAGGAAAAAGAAAAAGCAGAAGTGAAAGATGACAGTTGTCTCTGAATGAGCTTCTCATTTGAAGCAGTGGGAAGGTGTTACAGGCAGGCATGTGGAGCATGCAAGATGTTAACTCACTGCTTATGGGCTAGCTTTTATGCACTGATGTGCAGATATCTGTAATAAACATTCCTCTACGGGAGTGCAGAATCTTAACATCTTTTTGTCTGAGTGTAGAAAACTGGTATGATGTCCATTTGCTCTGAAGCACGTGTGTAATCTGAAATCCTGCAACTAATAATATATTGGTTTTAAACTACGTGGAAGGGTAGGGGCAGAAAGGCATCAAATCTGCTTGTAGCCTGAGTTATTCCCAGGTGCGAAGGGAAAGAAGTGCAAGGTTCGACAGCTAGAGAAAGGAAAGGCTTTCTGAGGTGTGTGCTGCGGGAAGGAATGCTGTGGGGACAATGATGTGTTGCTCTGACCTTTGCATTCAGCAAGGTAGGTCTCTGAGCTCCACACTGGGGTGCCTGGGTGCTGCTGCACGTGCCTAGGAAGCGGCCGTCCCCAGTGAGGACAACAGCTCTGCACTTTCAGGTGGGTCCTCTTTGGGCAGCAGTGGGACTGGAGCCCTGCCCTGAGGGTTGGTGAAGCCAACCAAGTCAGAAATCTTCCCTCTCGTACAATCTGGGAGCAGGATTCAGAGCTGCTGCTGCCGCTGCCCCAAGAGTCTACAACCAGGTGCAGGGTGAGGGGGAAGCAGAGCTCCCCTTTCTGGTATCACCTGCAGTACTTGAGCTTAGCTGCAACAGGGATGCTGCAGCCTGAAGGACAAGGAAGGTGACAGCTGGCTGTGACACAGCAACACGCATTCTGTAGGACTGCTGCCAACTCAATTCTTTTCCTCAGCCACAGTCAATGTAAAAGGGTTTCGGGTTGCTTGTCTCGCTCCAGAATGGCATCAAATATCTCAGGCTTACAGACCCTGCTGCCCTTCATGCTACATCGTACTGGAGCTGATTCTCATTCCACTGGAGCACATCTAGGGTATTGTACTGACATACATCCTCGTTGCTTCCCTCCAGGCCCTTGCTAGCACTGCAGCCCCCTGTGAGGGTGGGTGTTGTTAACATACCAACCAGTAAAGCTCAGACAAGTACAGGGCACATCCACTTAGTTTCAGATCTCTGACCCTGTTCCTGATGGCTGCAGAGCACGGGTCGGAATGTAGGGGTGAGGCAGCGCAGCCCAGTGTCTCAGTGGCTGTCAGGGTGTCCTGTGGCCCTGCTTCCAACAGAGGGACTCGTGGAATGGAATGAGAGACTGCTGCGACATGGGGCACACGAGGCTCCTGGTCTGTTAGGTGCAGCAGCTGCAAAATGGCTTCCTGCTGCCTGCCTGGAGATGGGTAAAGTCACTAGAGAGAGAAGATGAGCTAAGCAGTTCAGAAAGCCAAACAAATCCTGGGCTGCATCCAAAGAAGCGTGGCCAGCAGGGCCGGGGAGGTGATCCTGCCCCTCTGTCCTGTGCTGGTGAGGCCTCACCTGGAGCACTGCGTCCAGATGTGGAGTCCTCAGTGCAGAACAAACACGGACCTTTGCAGACCTCTCCTATGAGGACAGGCTGAGAGAGCTGAGACTGCTCAGCTTGGAGAAGGCTTTGGGAGACCTGAGAGAGGCCTTTCAGAACCTAAAGGGGGGCTATAAGAAGGAAGGGGACAGACTCTTTAGCAGGGCTGTTGCGCAGAGAGGTGGTGGGGGAGAACACCATGTAAAAGGCCTTCTGACTTCTTTTGGAGCTACAGCTGTTGTTTGTCAGGTCTGATATTTCTCCATGCAAGGAATTGCAGCCGCTCAGCTCCTTCAGATGGGATCAATGGGGTCAGCTGGAAAAATACATAACAAGAAGGGACAGCTCGAGGAAGCACACAAGCCCTGAGCAGTGGCTGCTAGGAACAAGGTCAAATGATGCCCAAGTGGATGTGGCTGCACTCCAAAGCCTTATATCTCAGACCCCAGCTATCACAACTGGGTAAACAACGGAGTCTTTGTACCTTTAGCAGTGTGTTATTTCACTTATAATTTAAGCATAGCGAATCTGAAGTTTCTGTAATTTACTAATCACCTCACTTCCTTTGCCCAAGTTACCTGGCAGCTATTAAAAAATTGCCTTTAAACCAGCAACAGAAATAAAGCTGCCTTCTGTCTTTCACTCTTGCTGGCACCCAGGGCTTCTTGGTGCAATGAAAAAACAATTAAAAACTGCCTATAAGTGTGACCAGCTGCACATCTGAACTTTGAAACCTTAAAACTGAAAGGAAAGCATGTTGATAGCCTAACTCTGAAGGCAGGAGGGTATCAGAGGTCGCTCAGACCCAAAGGACCTGGCTGCTTTGCTGAGCAGCT